AGTTTGTATGCTTTAACATTTTAAATGACCCATCACTCAAAATACAGCTCCATTTCCCCCATCCCTTAGTTCCCTGCAACCACCATCCTTGAAAAAGTCTTGATAGATCGCAATTCTTTGCAGAAAGTTTTCCCTAATTCACTCAGTGGGTCTTGTTTCTTTCCTATGATTCTATAGTTCGTGACTTCCTCTTCAATTATAGTGTTTATAACAGTTGTGCACTGGCTTACTAGTAATTGTGGCATTCTTTCCCACAGCAGCGAAAGCAATAGAAGCAACTTCCTCCTTTCCCCATCTTCCTGTCCTGTTTCCAGTCCCATTGTCAGTATGAAGAAGAGGAGGTTTGGTTGCAGTGGATACAGATTCCACACTCTTCTTTCCTCCGCAGACTCCTCTAACCAACCACGCACCACCCACAGCCACCGTCATAAGCCACTCTCTCCCCTCCCCTCCCCAAATGTGTTCAGGAGAACTGATGCTTTCCATCTTTGAGAGACACACATTATACTATATTAGCAAACTCCCATTTTAATCATTTAGATAATACACTACATTAAAAATAGTAAACTTTGTGACCAAACAATTCCACCTCCCTAATCTTGTCTAAGTATGTTTTTGGCCTTTTCTAACCCAGCTTAACCAAGTTGACAGTGGACCCATCTGACACAACCTTTTTAAGCTTCAGCTCTCTCATAGGGTGAAGTGTAAATGAAATAATTAGGCACTTAACTCACTGGCTGTCTTTCAGTTCAATTTTAGTAAGTTTGCTTTTCCTTAGTTGTACTGTTACAAAATAAACCATGCATCCATTTTACAGGAACTGGCCTCATTGACACCCAGTGCAAGCATGTTTTATGATGCGTGCATTTGTGCTAAGTCACTTCAGTCACGTCTGACTCTGTGCAAACTATGGACTGTAGCCTGCCAGGCTCCTCTGTCCATGGGACTCTCCAGACAAGAATACTGGGATGGATAGCCATGCCCTCCTCCAGGAGATCGTCCCAACCCAGGGATCGAGCCCACATCTCTCACATCTCCTGCATTGTCAGGCATGTTCTTTACCACTAGTGCCACCTGGGAAGCCCATGTTTTATTATAATTGTAATTAAATGTTACTATAAATGGAGAAAGAAACTTCTTAAATTTATATGATTAGGAAAACACAGTAAATTTTAGAAGAACCCAACAACTAAATTAACAAATGTATCTAATGTGAGAGATGCTGAAATAAATTTTCTCTTCCAAAATTGCCTCTGGGCATAGAGCCATGTTCTCTGTGTGATGACTGAATTCTGCCACTTATTTCTCCATGAACTTCAGAGAAATAGGATCAGCACACGGTGCCAAGACATTATTTGACTTTCAGTTGGCTTAAATCAATTGTATTGCAGTTCTCCTCTCTTTACAAGAGGATCCAAAGAATTCATAAACACAAATTGAATCTAGAACAATGAAAATATCTGATAGAGTTTGGATAGAGAATAGTCATCCAGATGATTTAAAATTATATTATTGTCTATTCATTCTTCTTTTTATTTTTCACTATGGATATATTTTTGTGATATATTACATTGTTATAGGTCAAATTTGTTTTTTACAGTGTATACATATTTTAAAATAATTGTTCCATATTAATAAAAATGTAAGTTCCAGAACCTTATTTTTTAAATTGTGCTCTGCATGAAAAGATGCTGAACATTGTTAATCATTGGAGAAGTTCAAATCAAAACTGCAGTGAGGTACCACCTCACACCTGTCATAATGGCCATCATTTAAAAGTCTAAAAATAACAAATGCTGGAGAGGCTGTGGAGGAAAAAGAACCAAAGAACTGTCTTACACTGTTGGTAAGGATGTAAATTGGGGCAGCCACTATGGAGAAAAGTATGAAAGTTCCTCAAAAAACTAAAAATAGAATTGCTTCTTGATCCAAAAATCCCACTCCTGGGCCTATATCTGGAAAAAGCTATACTTTGGAAAAATACACGCACCCTTATGTTCACTGTAGCACTGTTTACAACAGCCAAGACACAAAAACAATGTAAATATCCATCAACAGACAAATGGATAAAGACTATGTGATACATGGATGCAATGGAATACTACTCAGCCATAAAAAAGAATGAAATGATGCCATTTGTGACACCATGCAGGGACCTAGAGTTTAATCATATGAAGTGATGTAAGTCAGAAAGAGAAATACCAAAGGATATCACTTATATGTACTTCCCAGGTGGCACCACTGGTAAAGAGCCTGCCTGCCAATTCAGGATACATAAGAGATATGGGTTTGATCCCTGGGTCAGGAAGATCCCCTGGAGAAGGAAATGGCAGCCCACTCCAGTATTCTTTCCTGGAGAATCCTCATGGACAGAGGAGCCTGGCGGGCTACAGTCCACGGAGTTGCAAAGAGTTGGACACGACTGAATCGACTTAGCATGCCTGACTTATATATGGAATCTAAAATATGACACAAGTGAACTTATCCATGGAACAGAAACAGACGCACAGACGCAGAGAACAGAATGTTGTTGCCAAGGGGTAGGGGATTGGGAGAGGGATGGATTGGGAGTTTAGGATTAGCAGATGCAAGCTATTATTTGTATGTACAAATGAACACACCAGAAGCTAATGCAACATCATAAATCAACTATACTTCAATGAGGTAAATTTACAAAATGGGTCTGTGAGCATCCTTGTATGTGTTTCCTTGTCTTAATCACCAGATGTACAGCAGACATAGTTCCCTCCAGCTTCATATCTCGCATTCTCTTTTTTACTTATCTCTCTGTCTCTATCTCTCATCACTTCCTGTTCACCCTGTATGTAGTTCACATCTATGCACTCACACACCAAGTGTTAGATCACTGCTTTACAAAATAAAAGGCACACTATATGTAAGTGAGAATGGCTATCATCAAAAAGAAGCAAACAAACAAAAATGAGCAATTCTTCACCGTAGAGATTGAGTATTCTCTGGGCCAATTTCTGGTGAATGTGATATGAATATTGACTGAGCAATAATGGATATGTTGATTTCCTCAGTAAACCTACATTGGAGACTGCCTTCGCTGGGAATAACCACTGGGATGGAAATTGAGTCACTTGATGAGAATGCCCTTTAATGAACTGTGTTCGCAATTTCCTAAATGGCAGGAGTGAGGGTGGAATGTAATTACACCTTTTCCCTCAATGATGGGAAGATGTTCACTAATCAGGCCTAAATGCTTTTATGTACTAATGCCATTACTAGGAAAAAAATTAAAATCTCTTTAACTAAGGATTAAGCGTATGTGAGGATAGAAAGGCTATCGCTGAGCCCAGCGGTTCACTGTTCTTTGTAATCATATTTCTGTACATTAAATGGCAGGAGCAACATGTTCAGATCAGGGGACTGCGATAACCCCACACGGCCGCAGAGGAGAGCACTTGCTTCCTGATCTACTCGCTAAAATACTTTCTTGCAAAATCACTAGAAGATGTAGTGCCCCTGGTCCATTTGATTGCAGGGTGTAGACTCTAAATCAGTTAGGTTGGCTGAGCCTCTCAAGCTGAGTTGAATGCACAGTTAGTGGCAACGGCAGTGAAGGTCATTTCCACACAGCCTTCTAAGCTATTTACTGTTTCATTCATTAAGTGTGTAAATTGGCACAATCACTTAACCCAGTGTATATACAATATGCCACTTATAAATGGGATACAGTAGGCAGTAAGTAGCAGCAAGCCATCACTGCTACTGCATCAACAACAATATCAATACAATTTTAAAAGTTGCAGCTTTTAAAGATACCAGAGAGCTTTTTAAAGTAAAAATTTTATTGCTGTATAGTTGATGTACATTGCTGTGTTAGTTTCAGGTGGACGGCAAAGTGAATCGGTTATCTATATACATTTGTTGTTGTTCAGTATCTAAGTCATGTCTGACTCACTGTGACCCCTCCAGTATCTTCTGGAGTTTGCTCAAACTCATGTCCACAGAGTCGGTGATGCCATCCAACCATCTCATCCTCTGTTGTCCCCTTCTCTTCCTGCCTTCAATCTTTCCCAGCGTCAGAGTCTTTTCTAGTGAGTTGGCTATTCGGATCAGATGGCCGAAGTATTGGAGCTTCAGCTTCAGCTTCACCATCAGTCCTTCCAATGAAAATTCAGAGTTGATTTCCTTTAGGATTGACTGGTTTGATTTCCTTGCAGTCCAAGGGACTCTCAAGAGTCTTCTCCAACACCACATTTGGAAAGCATCAATTGTTCAGTGCTCAAGTGCTTTTTTAAAGTCCCTTGGAGTAGGAAATGGGGAAATACCCACTCCAGTATTCTTGCCTGCAGAATTCCATGGACAGAAGGGCCTTGTTTGCTACAGTCCAAGGGGTTGCAAAGAACTGGACATGACTGAACACACAAGCACACATACACGTCTTTGTTTTACAGGTGGTTTTGCTTGAGTTTCTCGTGGAAGGTGCTGAGTACACTTCCTTTAAGAACCTATCAGATTGCTCAGACTCTTCTTTGCCTCACTGGTATGTGTTTTGTTTGTAGGACATGCTGTTCTGCCTTTCACAAATGTGCTGAGAGTTAAGCATTCAGATGTTATTATTTTATAACGGAGAACTTCAGTGTGCTCCGTGGCCACTAGGTGCCTTACCTAGCAGAGGGGCTGAGCCATCCCGCAGGATGGATCGTGGCTCCCCAAATGCCGGTGTTCCAAACGGGATGGAACAGAAGCTGTCAGCCCCCTTAAAGGACAGCTTGGAACGCATCTGGTGTCCTTCTCCCACATTTGATTCATTGACCTGAGTAACAGACAGACTCAGCTTCCACATGGGAGGGGCATGAAATTACAGATGGAATAATCTCAAAAGATGACTTAGTGTCCTTCTGACTTAAACGCTGAATCTTTCCTAGCTGAGAAATTGGGGAGGCCACTTGCCAGGCAAAACCAAGATAGAAGTTTCTAGACTGAGCTGTTCTGCAACATCGTCCCCTTGATAACCTTCTGGCCCCTTTTCAGTGACTGTGCTTCTGTCCTGCACCATCCGTACTGAATTCATCTTTTCCACCGATCAGAACTCTTGGTATGATAGCATAAAAACTCTCAGTTTCTCCGTTATCATTTAAGTTTCGTGCTTTCTGTCGGTCATCTCCCTGGCCTGCGTTCACAGTGATCTCCCTTCCCGTTTGCACAGCTGTGGCCGTTTTCTCCTCCGCTGTCTGCTCGGCTTTGTTGCAGCGAGCACTGGCCACACACCATGGCAGCCCCTGTGGTTCGTCTGTCTCCTCGGGGTGCAGAGTGACGACAGAAGTGGCCGTGAAGCACCTGGACGTGGGTGGCGAGGGACACCTGCAGGGTGTGATTCAGACAAAGGGCCCCTCATGCATAAACAAAGCGGCTTGGGGAACTTCTTGAGTCACCCATTTTCTTTCATATTTCTCAATATAGCCGTTGACAGTTTTATTATTTTACCATGTTATACCTCCAATTGACAAAGATAATTCTTCAGCTTCAAAAGGCTCATTGAAAAAACAGGGTCCATGCTCAAATTTATGTTCACCCCAAAGCCACAGTCTGGAGTTACGTATAGTGAAAGTGAAAGTCACTCAGTTGTGTCTGACTCTGCGACCCCATGGGATTCTCCAGGCCAGAATACTGGAGTGGGTACCCTTTTGCTTCTCCAGGGTAACTTTCCCAACCCAGGGATCAAAGCCAGGTCTACCACATTGCAGGAGGATTCTTTACCAGCTGAGCCACAAGGGAAGCCCAGAATTACGTATAAGCTTATTCTAAATAATATTTGATTAGAAAATTTAAAGGAAGAACAAACTGAAAGTGAAAGTGTTTAGTCAGTTGTGAATCCCTGGGCTACAGCCCACCAGGCTCCTCTGTCCATGGAATTTTCTAGGCAAGAATACTGGAGTAACTTGCCATTTCCTACTTCTGGGGATCTTCAGACCCACGGATTGAGCTGACATCTCTTGCATCTCCTGCATTGGTAGGCAGATTCTTTACCACTGAGCCACCTGGGAAGTTTATATCTTGAGAGAGATTTAATCCAATTTTTACGTGACTCCAGGGCTGTGCAGTGTGTTTTAAGGCCAATAATTCTGTGACTATTTTCACCTGTGTTTCCCTAAAGCCCTGGGGCCATCTTTACAGAGGTAGAGGTTGGCCCTGAGAGCCTTCAGGCTGAATGTATTTGAAGAAACACAAGTTAGGCAAAGAGAAACCCTACCCAATGGGTTCTTATTATTTCTCTAAATGCAGTCTTCATTTTCCTATAGTTCTTTATCTTTTTACAAAATTCCTCATCCAAGCTCTGGGTGTGTGACACTTGTTCATTCACTATCTCTTTCACCCATCCATCTATTCATTTAGTAAATGGCCATTTCATTCTCACTCACCATCAAGCACCATCCTCAAAGCAGAGCGAGATCAAAGTTGCGTAACCAAATGGGGGTCTGGCTGCTTGATGCTCAGAAGCCATTTAAGAGGCCAGGCTGGCGGGAAGGAAGTTTATTTCAGAGCCCAGCAACTGGGGGTGGGGTGGAGGAGGGCAGCCACCAGTCCAAAGACTGACTCCTCCCTTGACAATTAAGGGGCAAGAGCTTTTACAGACAGAGGGTGGGGCTCCATGCAGAGACTCCGACTCTCATCTTCAGATTTGTTACCAGTGGTCTGACAGCATCATCTGGATGGTTTCCGGTACAGTTAGTTTTCAGTTCCAGGCTCAGTCTGTTTCCATTTCCTTGTGGCCAGTTCTCGGAATTATGACTATGTCGTGGCTACAGTCTGGCCATTGTGTCTTTAACTTCTTCCACCTGGTGCGGGTTTCAGTATAAGACAGCTCACGGGATATGGTTCAGAATACTGGCTTTAGCCCTTGAGAAGGAGATAAAGGTGCTTGACCATGCTTAAAGACTATTATTATTTGGTCTTCTTGGACTCGTTTCCTCTGTTTCTGCATGTTCATACTTCTCTGATTAAACTTATTCTTTGGCTACAGTTTCTCTACAGACAAGAGGCAGGCAGACGACATGGGGGGTGGCGTCAAGGACCTTTGGGTCCTGCTCCATTTTAGTGAGACAGTCCTCTCCTCTGATAGACCAACTTCTAGCACAAAAGATATATCACTAAAGAATCACGTGACAGTGTGGTTTGTGCTCTAATAAAAGGACTGCCATGTATCCTGTGTAATAGATACGTGTTTTTATTACTGCTCCAACCTGACTTCCCATCTTTCCTGGGGGTGGAGCCCCAAATTTCCTTTGGTAACCAACTCTCCCCTGATCTGTTCATGCCTTTTTGGTTTAAAACAATCAGAGTATCTCATTTTCTGTGGACCACAATTAGTTCTAGGAGGCTCTTGGTCAGGAAGGACACCATGGGGCTTCTAAGAACTTCTGCCCAGTGGGGAGAAGCTGAGTCATTTAAATCCCCACGATGAAGCTATAGGAGGACCCAGTCATGACCTGGGTTCTCAGGACCTGAGTCCTGGACCAAGCTGTGCCCGAGAACACTGTTACCTCTCCAGTTGTGGGAGCAAATAGATGACCTTTACTTTTTAAATAAATTTTATTTAGCATCTCTGCTGCATGTAAATGAATGATTTCCAAAATACATTTGGAGATCACTTGTCATTTTACTATAAACCAGCATGCCCCAAGGCGTGCTTCTGTGTAAGTCATAAGTACTGTTCTGATCGGAAGACGTGAAACAAAAAGTCACTGATTTCCAAACCCAAATTGTTTTTGCCAGCTCACCTGGGAATATGCTTTTTGAATGTCATTTGAAATCTTAAAGGGTCCAAGAGCAATCTGTATAGGCAATGCTCAGTTGCTGTGTATATAATTTCAACAGGCACTTAGAGAGATTACAGGATTGATTCAGATGCTTGATTTGATTTGAGTAAAGTAAGTCTGGACCTCAGAAAACTTTGTTTCCTCAGAGACTATCCAATGCCATTTCTCAATGGCAGGGGTTGATGAATGATTAGGAAATGGTTAGATGAAAGAACAAAGGGTCCCAGTGTAAGTCCCAGAGAATCAGAGAAGAGCAAATGCAGAATAGTAGTTGATTTTTTTCTTTTCTCTATAGATTATGTGGGCTTCCCTGGTGACTTAGTGGTAAAAGGTCCACCTGCCAATGTGTGAAATGTTGGTTGGATCCTTGGATTGGGAAGCTCCCCTGGAGGAGGAAAGGGCAATCCACTCCAGTATTCTTGCCTGGAGAATCCCACGGACAGAGGAGGCTGGTGGGCTACAGTCCATGGGGTCACAAAGAGTTGGGCATGACTGAGCAACTAAACAACAACTATAGATTAAGTAACACCTGCCATAGAGTTTGTTGATGTGGCCTGAGGCAGAGAGAGTTAACGAATAAACCACAGGGGGATGATGGAATAGGACATTTTTTTTTCTTTTTAGGAAAGAGATATCATTGATCTGACTAGCTTTCTATGTTATTGATCTGCTGGTCTGCAAATAAATAACAATTTTCCTATTTTTAATATATTAGTGACTTCTGACAAGATGTTATTTGGATATTTAACAAAATTTGAGGTAGAACACAATTATATTTGTAGCTCCCCAAGTATAGTCAGTAACATAACCTTGATGCGTGAGAGGCTTGGATGCTCAGGTCGTGAGTACATTTGCACGAAGGTCATGCTCAGAGTAACAGGGACAGAGCGGGTCCTGGCGTCCCTTTGCTTCTTCAGCAAGCCCCTTTTGTGTGAAAGGAGGATAAAGACCATATATTACCCGTGATCTCCCCATATGCCAAGGAAGTATTTTTCAACTTACGGTATCTTTGCTTTCAACACGATGGAATGGCATAAATTAGGAAAAACAACATTAAATTATTTTTTAAAGTAGATTAACATTCTAATTGTTTCCTATTATCATGGATTTGATTAATTATGCAGGAAGGCCAAGATAAATAAGCCATAAGAAGCTCATTTGATGCTGAAATACCACTTAGGACTGATTTGCTAATTAGAAGACAAGCTGTATTGACAATGATCTTACTTCATGGGTGAATCCTCTTCAATTTCATTATTCTCAAGATCATGAAATTGACTAGTAAGTGTTTTATTAGACTACTTCTTAAAGTACAGTATAACAGCATTAAGTAATTTTTATTAAATTCCAGCCAAACTCCATTAAAGAAAAGTAATATATACTTTTGTCTAAACACATCCCACTTTTATTATTTCTATTGTGATATTACCCTGAGACAAAGAAAAAGTTATGTCTAATTACGTGTTCACTGATTTTTGTCTTTTTCACTTTGGCTAGATATTCATTGGTCTCCTTAACTTTTGGATTTGTCTTTATTACGTGTGCGTGTGTACTAGGTCGCTTCAGTCGTGTCCGACTCTTTGAGACCCCATGGACTGTAGCCTACCAAGCTCCTCTGGCCATGGTGATTCTCCCAGGCAAGAATACTGGAGTGGGTTGTCATGCCCTCTTCCAGGGGATCTTCCCGATGAAGGGATAGAATTCTTGTGTCTTGGATTTCCTGCATTGGCAGGTGCATTCTTTACCACTAGCATCACCAGGGAAGCCCATTTTTAGTATATTTGTCATATTATTAAAAGTCATAATGATATACATACTAGTTTGGATAAGTTATTTAAGACATCAACTTTTTAGGATGCATTTTGTTCAATTTCAAATGAGCTATACAAGACAAATTTTAAAGCTGATCAGTATCATATGGACCTGTAGTGATGACAACCAAACTTTTCAGGAGCTTCATTTGGAATGGCATTTGACATGAGACCACAAACAGGAAGGAGGGAAGGAAGGATTTATTCTCCAACCAGCACAGACGTCAGAGCTCATTATTCCGAAAGTATGTCTGTCAATTTTCCAGTGTACTCCTATTATCTTAATACTGGCAGCTAAGAAGTTCTAGAAGAGACAATGAAGGAAAAACAAAATCACTATGAACCCAGTACAAATAAATGTTGAGGTGGGAGTTTTGACCTTCTAATCTACCAGTAGGTGAAAGCATGGTGCCAAATGCTACTGCAGGAGATTATATCCATGCTGAAGTTGGAAATGTTGCTGGTCAGTGGCTAAGTCCTGTCTGACTCTTTGTGACCCCATGGACTGCAGCACACCAGGTTTTCCTGTTCTTTATCATCCACTAGGGTTTTCTCAGACTCATGTCCATTGAGTCGGTGATGTCATCCAAACATCTCATCCTCTGTCATCCCTTTCTCCTTGAGCCCTCAATCTTTCTCAGCATCAGGGTCTTTTCTAAGTTGGCTCTTTGCATCAGGAAGACAAAGTATTGAAACTTCAGCTTTAGAATCAGTCCTTCCAAAGAATATTAAGAGTTGATTTCCTTTAGGATGGACTGGTTTGATCTCCTTGCAGTCCAAGGGACTCTCAGGAGTCTTCTCCAACACCACAATTAGAAAACATCAATTTTTCATTGCTCAGCCTTCTTTATTGTCCAACTCTCACCTCCATATGTGACTACTGGAAAAACCAGAACTTTGTTGGCAGAGTATGTCTGTTTTTCAATACTCTGTCTAGGTTTGTCATAGCTTTTCTTCCAAGGAGCAAGCCTCTTTTAATTTCCTGGCTACAGTCATTGTTCACAATGATTTTGGAGCCCAAGAAAATAAAATCTGTTACTGTTTCCATTTTCTCCCCTTATATTTGCCATGAAGTGATTCCACTTACGCTGTGACCATAGCCCATAATACCAACTCCTGCATCTGAGAGCAAACCTTTGTCTCTATGAGGAATGTTTGAGTCACACTTGAGGCTATATCATGGACAAGCTTCTTGATGATTCTTTGAGCATCTACAAATGATTAAGATGCACACAGATTTAAAATTTCCAAGAGGTACAAACTTCCATTTATGAAATAAATAAGCCACAGGGATGGATTATACAGCATAAGGAATATGGTCAATAATACTGTAACAACTTTATAGGGACAGATGGTTGCTACTTATTGTGGTGATCATTCATAAAGTGTGTAAATGTCTAATCACTATGTAGTATACCTGAAACTAACATAATATTGTATGTCAATGATATTTCAGTGAAACAAATAAAAATCCCAGGAAGTAAATAATTACCTTACGTGGAATCATTATGACAGAGCCGTAATGTCTGATAAGATTTGGGAAGCATTCTGAGTCTCCTCTGTCTACTCCTTAGAGCATTTTGGAATTCTCCAGCAATCTCAACATGTCTGAACAAATATATTGGAAAAGCAACACTCTACAGAATGACAGAGCCGACTACATAGAATGATTCAGCTAGCGGCAGAGGAAAAAGGACAGAGAAGAGGGAGTTACCTTTCGACAGTGATTACTCATCAGAAGCTGCGGTTGCTCTTCTGTAGCTGAGCATCACTGAGACACCCCAGTCTGCCTCCACTACAGAACGCAGGAACTACTGGGAAATTCTTGTGCAGCAACCTATTTTAATACGCCTCTTCCTATGTTACAACTTTTGTGGGTTTTCTTTTCTCCAGATAATTTATTTGGGTTGATTATAGCTAACAAGTGGGAGAAATGAAATCAACCTTCGGATTTTGGTCAATCAACAAAATGCTATAGATGCTGAACAAGAACTAAGCAATGTGAGCTCTGAAGAGATGAGATATTTATGTCTAACAGGGCTCTGAGGAGTGGTCCAACCTTAGCCTCAGGCACATACCTTTTAAACATTGATTGATGTCACTTCTTTTTGAATTTTCCATAATTCTGTGACCTGTTCTGAAACTCCAAGAAGTTTTAACTTGAATAAATGATCAAGTTTAACCTGTGTTGTGGAAATGTTTAAAAAATTAACTTTTCTATCATCAAGTTAGAGTAACTAAGGAAATGTTGCAAAATTCTGCTTAGTTAACAGGTACGCTAACAATATTTAAATTTTATTCAGTCCTGGCCATGATGGATTCTTCCTGTTACTCCAGCGTTCACAATGTCAGGTGAGGTTTAACAGAATTTTAAACATCGTTCTCACCCTTTTAATGATCCTAAGAAAACTTAACATATGGGTTTTCTTCTGTGTTTCTTATTTGCCTGGATGCCTCAAGTTACATCGGCTGAAGCTGTCCTTGGTTGAAGCTGGGATTCCAGTGCGTCCACGCTGGTTCAGTAAAACAGACATTACAGATCTGTATGGTGACACCATTTCTGGAACAGCTTTGATTCGCAGGTCCATGATTCAAGTTGTTTGCTTTTGTTTTTGTTTGATTCTCACAACATATGAACATTTATAGTGTGGGAGAAAAAAGTTTGTTTTTTTTTAAAAAACAAGTAGAAAAGGTCTTGCCACTCTGTTGTTTGATATAGCTTGATTTTAAGAACAAAGTCATCTTGCTTAATATCCACCTTTCTGCTCATGTGTCTGGGGTTTAATTTCATAGCTCTGTGGTGGTGATGGTCTCAAATGTGTGAATACAACTTGTAAATTGGTATTCACCTTTTGCTCTATCATTATGAAAGTGCCAGAGAAAATGGTGTCTATAAAATTATTTTGTGTTCGTGCTCCCTTCTCTTATATTTTTTTCTAACCTTGCTTCCATGTACAAGTAGATGTATTTTTACTCAAAAAAGGCTCAGTAGTCTTTTTTCAATGATTGAGAATGGTGCTCAATCATGTACTCTCATCTCAATCTTCTTCCTGAAAAGAGCCACCATTGTCATGATGAATTATAATCCTTCAAATATAAATACTTCTACATAACAACAGATATTTCTGTATCTATCAGTCATTCAAGTATCTGTATAATCTGTCATATTTTGCTTTTTAAATATAAGTGATATTGTATTGCTTCTTGCTTTTTTTCACTTAACCAATAATTTGTTGTAGAGATTGTTTCTATTTCTATGTGTAGAATGTCATATATGTTAGATATGTACATGTTTTGCTTGGTAGAAATTCAGATAATTTACAACTTTCCTGCTTTAATCATTCATACAAGTACCTTATTATAAACATCTTTCATATCTGTGCAAATATATTTTCCCAAATAGGTACAAAGTTTTGAAAATTTTTGAATCTTTGCATGATATGTGAATAATATGCTGCTTTGGGAACCTTTTAATAGGCTAAGAAAAATTTCCCAGTAAAAGATATGTAACATTTAAAAGAATGTATCACATTGTCACAAAATTTTTTTTTAATCTTCAAGCTTCTCATTTTTTCTAATCTGGCAGTTAAGAAAAAATATATTCCACTATTTACTTTTCATTTTACTGATTACTACTACAATTGAGCATCTTTTTCTAAGGTTTTTCAGTTCAGTTCAGTCTCTCAGCCATGTCCGACTCTTTGCAACCCCATGGACTGAAGCACGAGGCTTCTCTGTCCATCACCAACTCCCAGAGACTACTCAAGCTCATGTCCATCGTGCAGGTGGTACCATCCACCATCTCATCCTCTGTCATCCCCTTCTCCTCTTGCCTTCAATCTTTCCCAGCATCAGGGTCTTTTCAAATGAGTCAGTTCTTCACATCAGGTGGCCAAATATTAGAGTTTCAGCTTCAGCATCAGTCTTTCCAATGAATATTCAGGGCTGATTTCCTTTAAGATGGACTGGTTGGATCTCCTTGCAGTCCAAGGGACTCTGAAGAGTCTTCTCCAACACCACAGTTCAAAAACATCATTTCTTAAGCACTCAGCTTTCTTTATAGTCCAACTCTCACATCCATACATGACCACTGGAAAAACCATAGCTTTGACTAGACGGACCTTTGTTGGTAAAGTAATGTCTATGCCTTTTAATATTCTGTCTAGGTTGGTCATAGTTTTTCTTCCAAGGAGCAAGCATCTTTTAATTTCATGGCTGCAGTCATCATCTGCAGTGAGCCCTCAAAAATAAAGTCTGTCACTGTTTCCATTGTCTCCTCATCTGTTTGCCATGAAGTGATGGGACCAGATGCCATGATCTTAGTTTTCTGAATGTTAAGCCTTAAGCCAACTTTTTCACTCTCCTCTTTCACTTTCATCAAGAAGCTCTTTAGTTCTTCGCTTTTTGCCATAAGGGTAGTGTCATCTGCATATTTGAGGTTATTGATATTTCTCCTGGCAACCTTGATTCCAGCTTGTGTTTCATCCAGCCGAGCATCTTGCATGATGTACTCTGCATATAAGTTAAATAAGCAGGATGACAATATACAGCCTTGATGTACTCTTTCCTGATTTGGAACCAGTCTGTTGTTCCATGTCCAGTTCTAACTGTTGCTTCTTGACCTGCATACAGATTTCTCAGGAGGCAAGTCAAGTGGTCTGATATTCCCATCTCTTGAAGAATTTTCCACAGTTTGTTGTGATCCACACAGTTAAAGGCTTTGGCATAGTCAATAAAGCAAAAGTAGATGTTACTCTGGAACTCTCTTGCTTTTTCAATGATCCAGCAAATGTTTGCAATTTGTTCTGGTTCCTCTGCCTTTTCCAAATCCAGCTTGAACATCTGGAAGTTCATGGTTCACATACTGTTGAAGTCTGGCTTGGAGAATTTTGAGCATTACTTTACTAGTGTGTGAGATAAGTGTAATTGTGCAGTAGTTTGAGCATTCTTTGGCATTGCCTTCTTTGGGATTGGAATGAAAACTGACCTTTTCCAGTATTGTGGCCACTGCTGAGTTTTCTAAGTTTGCTGGCATATTGAGTGCAGCACTTTCACAGTATCATCTTTCAAGATTTGAAATAGATCAACTGGAATTCCATCACCTCCACTAGCTTTGTTCATAGTGAAGGCCCCCTTGACTTTGCATTCTAGGATGTCTGGCTTCAGTTGAGTGATCACACCATCATGATTATCTGAGATCTTTTTTGTATAGTTCTTCTGTTTTTTTCTTGCCACCTCTTCTTAATATCTTCTGCTTCTGTCAGGTCCATACCATTTCTGTCCTTTATTGAGCCCATCTTTTCATGAAATATTCCCTTGGTATCTCTTATTTTCTTGAAGAGATCTCTAGTCTTTCCGATTCTATTGCTTTCCTCTATTTCTTTGCACTGATCACTGCGGAAGGCTTTCTTATCTCTCCTTGCTATTCTTTGGAACTCTGCATTCAAATGGGAATATCTTTCCTTTTCTCCTTTGACTTTTGCTTCTCTTCTTTACTTAGCTATCTGTAAGTCCTCGTCAGACAACCATTTTGACTTTTTGAATTTCTTTTTCTTGGGGATGATCTTGATCACTGCCTCCTGTACAATGTCACGAACCTCTGTCCATAGTTCTTCAGGCATTCTGTCCATCAAATCTAATCCTTTGAATCTATTTGTCACTTCCACTGTATAATCTAAGGGATTTGATTTAGGTCATACCTGAATGGTCTAGTGGTTTTCCCTGCTTTCTTCAATTTAAGTCTAAATTTGGCAGTAAGGAGTTCATGATCTGAGCCACAGTCAGCTCCTGATCTTGTTTTTGCTGATCTTGTTTTGTATAGAGCTTCTCCATTTATGGCTGCAAAGAATATAATCAATCTGATTTCAGTATTGACCATTTGGTGATGTCCACGTGTAGAGTCTTGTCTTTTGTTGTTGGAAGAGGTTATTTGCTAATACCAGTGTATTCTCTTGGCAAAACTCTGTTAGCTTTGCCCTGCTTCATTCTGTACTCCAATGCCAAGTTTGCCTTTTACTCCATGTAGTTCTTGATTTCCTACTTTTGCATTCCAGTCCCCTATAATGAAGATGACATCTGTTTTGGGTGTTAGTTCTAGAAGGTCTTGTAGGTCTTCATATAACCATTCAACTTCAGCTTCTTCAGCATTACTGGTTGGGGCACAGACTTGGATTACTGTGATATTGAATGGTTTGCCTTGGAAACGAACAGA